TCGAACCAATATTCGAATTTTATGTTTAAATTCAAATTCGAACATAACATTCGAAATAGAAAACCACTTTCAGCCCCATATCTCCCGCACCCTTATAGCTATCGAGACGCAACCACCATGGTGAACGAATGCACACTTGCGGCTACTGCCACATACAAACACCATTCATGTGCGATGTGTAGTTTTGGCGGAAAAGTGAAATATAGGGACTACACGTCCATTTATATATATATAGATAGGGGCAGCACTTTAAAACTTTGGTAGCATTACCTGGTACGCAATCTAATCACAAATGTAATCATTCACATATCTATCTGATGATAAAATCAATGAAACTATTATTAAAAGAAAACATATTATTGTTCAATTCATTCCATCAACAAATACTTAATAAATACGCATCTTAAAAAGACTTATAAAGTTATAAAATAAATATGTATTCTTTATTAAAATATTCAAATATGATAATTGTTAAGAATGTTCCATATAAAGAAAAATAGTTGCAGCTGGAGAATTTAATTTCAAAGAAAATTAAACAAATTCATCGCTTATCGTTGTATTAATTAAAAAAAACGAATCAATGTAAAATAAACAATTTCAGAATATTATACATTTTAATTAAGTATATTTTGATATTATACCTTTTTACTTAAAACTCTTTATTGATATATTAGTTCTTTAAAAAATATATGGAATATACAAAATTGATTTTCTTTAGAACAAAGGAATTCCAAGTCCAATAATTGCAATGAGTAGAACAATGATGATCACATAATAACCTGTAATTACATGTTATTATTATTATTTTCTTTTCATTAGTTTAACTTCACAAAAAATTTTTAATTAAAATATACAAAGGTTTTAATTGAAAAATTAAATTTCTCTATACATTTAACAAACTCTAAGAAATTAAAAATAATTTAAAAGTATATAATTCATTTAAATTATATTATAATTCAAAGTGTATAATTTAAACAATTATACACTTTTAATTGAAATTTTCAACAATACATTATAACTTGAGTTTTTCATGTGATTGTTCTGCACTTAACAATTAAATCCTTCAAGTAAAATTTGAATTATTTTAGTGGCAGCTGCATAAGTTTTATTTTTTGGATGGATGGATGGAAGGTGATAATCTGCCAAGGCAGATAATTCTGTATCACCTGCTGGTCAAGTGTGAACCCATTACCTGCTAACAATGTTTGGTGGATTATCCAATTGGCCATTGGCGGGCAATATTTTTTAAAATCCATCATAAAAATGTGTCACGTAGGAAGAAATACAATTGCTTACATAAATTATACAGAAACTTTGATTCTTGGAATCTTGGCAAATAAGATTCCATTTTCCATAAACACACAGATCTATCTAAAACAACACTCGAGGATTCAAGATATTTTTTATTAACATTTGAGAGAAACACTCTCATCTTCAGTAATACACATTTAAATACAAAAATATGAATTCCATTCGAAAAAGCAATATTCCATCATATGAATGAATTCTATTTCTCATGCTTGCTTATTGACTATGTTAGAAATACATGCAATCTATTTTCATCTAACTATTAATAACACTTAAACTCTCAGAAATTTTTTTATTCTTTCTAACTGGAAGTAGAATAATTGTACAGTAGAAGATAAAAAAATTAATGGAGGTATATAAAGATAGTAGTTCCCTAAACTCTCTTTGGTTCTTCTGGCAATAAATACATTGTCATTCTTATAAACTTCTCAAATACTGGTTTCATCTTCAGACTACAAAATAACAAAGAGAAAATTACTCATTATTTCTATTTGAATAATCTTAAATCTGTTTCTTTTCACCCAGAAAGACTTAGATTTCCTATGCAAGAAGTCAGAAAATCAGATCAGCTTAATAGTGTGACAAAGAACTCTAGTATAAGTATATAAATAAAATAGATATATAAGCAATGCTTGCCCATTTACCTGTTCTCGATTCACAATAAAGATAAATTCGCAAATACAGTGATACCTCGGTTTTTGTCAATAATCTGTCCAAAAACAATTGGCAAAATCTGAAACCGACGAAAACCGAGCAAATTATTTCCATATGGATCAATGTAAATCCAATTAATTTGTTCTAGACACTCCAAAATACACATCAAAAACACATTTTATACAGAATAAATATAGTGTTTAATACTAAAAATTTAAGAAATTAATATAAAATTGGCCAATTTCAGCAATCTTAATGTCGCTCTCTTATTTTTCATGCATTTCCTTCATCAACTTGATTGTGTTCTTGGCCTTCTTCTTCGAAGGGCTGCTGGCTCTGGAAACTTTCTTTGGTCCTATGATGGAACAAAAAGGAAGCAATGGAATTGTTTGGCTAAAGGCACGGGGTAATAATGCTCACACAACGAGAAACAATGCCACACTGAGAAGGAAAACGCGTTGGTCTCCCTTTGTTTTTGCAAATTAGTTGTGAGGTCGTGTGGGCATGCCGACGAAATCCGAGACAAATTTATCGCAGAAAAAATAGACGAAAACCAAAGTCAACAAAAACCAAGGTATTACTGTACTGAAAATGTGGAAGTATATGAAAATACAGTGGGTGATCGGTTAACGAACAAATCGGATAACGAACACTTTTGCGAACGATTTTTATGATCGGACAACGAACACTTCACTGAACAAACATAAAAAGAAGCGACAAAAATAGCAAATACCGGTTGATTTTCCCTTGTCTTCAGGCAACAATTCGAAGCCTTTCGGAGCGCTGGAGATGTTGACATTGACACTCAACCTGAAATATACTCATCAGATAGTATTCCTCCAAACTTTGAAACTCTCCCTCGTAATTCCAGCCTTTTATTTTTCTGACAGAAACAATTCTTTTATAGTATTCGTGAGACTGTCGGGCGGGCACTCGTTAAGTTTTGCGTCACGTTTTATTTTTGAAAGGTAAAATAGCAAAGGTAGAGAGTGGGCAGAAGATGTCTGATACTGCTGGGCAGTATGGCTTGAACAAAACTACAGTAGGGCACAGTTCAATCTTATCTAAGAAAGATACAGTATAATCAAGAAGACTCAAGCAGTTAAAGGAGTAACAAAAATCACTTCTGAGAAATAAAGATCATTCAAGAGCTTATAATGGAACCTGAAACGGATCTGATGGCAGAAGAACGCCAAGAACTCTTGAATGAAGAACACCAAGAAACTCAGCAAGATATATTTTATTATGAAAAAGACGATTAATGCTGATATCTGCTATTAATTAAAATTCTTTTGAAGAAGTGGGGAATGTCAGATCAACAGTCTTAGAATGGCATACAAACCAGGTTGAGGTTAATAGGCATGGGGATCTCTACAATTACAATGCTATTAATTACTTATGAAAATCCTGAAGAAGAGATAAAAGCAATCGACATTAGACAGATTCTTTAATCCCACAATAAAAAAAAAACATAACTAATAAAAATGCAAGACTGTGTATATATGTATTTTTATTATTACATATAAATAAATGTAGTAAGAAAGTGTATATTTTTTATTTTTTGGGGTCTCCAGAACGAATTAATCAAATTACCATACAAACGTATGGTAAATTGATAATCAGTTAACAAACAATTCGGATAGCAAACAAAGTCTTGGAACAGATTATGTTTGTTAACTGATCACCCACTGTAATCAATTCCATAAACTAATCAAAGAGGAGATATATTAATATTTGTGATTCCAGGAAGGTAGTAATCATGTAAATCATAGTAGTTTACAACATTTCTAAGAAAAAATTTAAGTAAAAGAAATGAATACAGAACTGAATGCCAAAAATAAAATCTCTACAATAGATTCTTGGGTTATGTCTATTCTAATTTATAATTTTTGTTTTCTAAATTAGTCACAATCTTTGGCAGACAAAGTCTAAATTAACAAAATTATGTTTCTGCCAATGATTGGCAACTGAAAAACTAAAGCAGTCTATGGGAAGAAGGGCAACAGTGTATCTAGCCTTTTAAAGTTCTATGGAGGCATCACATAACACCAAAATGCAAGTCAAGGTATTGAGTTCCATACTTCTTGGACTTTTTAAAAATTGCATTAATACAAGCACACACATCAAGTAAAGCTTTCTTGTGCAATTTGAAAAAACATTTGACAAAATTTATGACTAACTTTTCTTAGAATAGTGAATCTGAAAATTATAATTATGTTACTGAATGTAGATTGCATTTAAAAGATTTCAGATATGATTGCAATCATTTAAAGACAAAGCTTATCCTGAATGTCAATACTGGGACAAATCTGTAAATTATTCTGTAAAATAAGAATGTAAAGTTAAACATCATTTTGATAAATAATGCAGAATATATTTTACAATGCTGAACAATTACTTAAAGTAATGTAATTTCATGTGGATAACCTATAATAATCTACACTCTACAGAAAATTGTTAGAATGAATATAAAATCTTTGCATGAACCCCCTCACTGCATCTCTGCACTGGCCACTGAAAGCATGACACTTAGCATGCTCTTATTTGTCTGGAAATATATACTACTAGCTGCTAGGATCCGCTTCGCTGGGTTTTTATTTGTGGGCAAAAAGTAACGATAGTGAAGATTAAGATAATTACATTATAGCCAATCTTACCCGTTTTCACAGAATGCAAGAATTAGGTCCCCCGTTTCCAGACTAATTAGAGACCTGGTCCCGATTCTATTTCTGAATGTCTCCTGTTCACGTCCGGTCAAACGAACTATTTTCAACGTTTCTGGAACGTTTACAATCATTCTATAATCGAACCAATATTCGAATTTTATGTTTAAATTCAAATTCGAATATTGTTCGAATTAAATTCAAACAAATTCGAACATAAAATTCGAAATAGAAAACCACTTTCAACCACTTTCAGCCCCATATCTCCCGCACCCTTATAGCTATCGAGACGCAACCACCATAGTGCACAAATGGAGACTTGGGGCTACTACCACATACAAACACCATTCATATGCGATGTGTAGTTTTGGCTAAAAAGTGAAATATAGGAACACACACGTCCATTTTTATATATATATATATATAGATAGATTATATGTGAAAATTGCTTGTTTTCTTGTTTTTTAAATATATGTTGTTTCACTTATAAGAACATGCTCTTATATCTGCCAGCTTGTTTTGACTTATAAAATCACTGCATTACTGTGTCAATGTAAATTAAATGTAAATGTTCTAGTACAGTGACATTTCATCAACATCTCTGTGGTAATCATCATTAAAAATAAAAAATGCTTTCAATACTATAAAAATTTTTAAGAAATAGTTAAGGTTTTACATATTTTGTGGAATATACTGCCTATCTTGTCTCATCTGTAAGAGCATGCTCATATATGCACAGGAATATGATATTAGTGTGTATTTTAAAACGTACCATCTAAAACATTCAATGTCCACACAGCAAACAGGGTAGAAATGCTGGTTATCAAAAACATAAAACCACAAGTCAAACACTTCCCGAGCGTTTAAGACTGTGTGATATATCTTTGAATGATGCGAGCAGATCCAAGTAAGGTGGCCTTTTGCAACTGACAGACAGTAATTTTGTCAATATTTATGGCTTGTAAGTGCCGACTAAGATCTTTTGGCACAGCCCCCAGTGTGCCGATAATCACTGGGACCACCTGTACTGGTTTATGCCAGAAGCGTTGCAGTTCAATTCTTAGGTCATGATATTGGCTAAGTTTTTCTTGTTGTTTTTCGTCAATTCTACTGTCACCTGGTATGGCGACATCTATAATCCACACTTTTTTCTTCTCCAAAATTGTGAAGTCTGACGTATTATGTTCCAGAACTTTATCAGTCTGAATTCAGAAGTCCCATAGTATTTTGACACATTCATTTTCAACTACTTTTTCGGGATTATATTCCCACCAATTTTTTCCTATAGGTATATGATAGTTGTGGCACAGGTTCCAATGGATCATTTTGGCCACAGAATTGTCTCTCTGTTTATAGTCTGTCTGTGCAATTTTTTTGCAGCAGCTGAGAATATGATCAATAGTTTCATCAGCTTCTTTACACAGTCTGCATGTTGGATCGTCAGCAGATTTTTCAATTCTTGCCTTAATTGCATTTGTTCTGATTGCTTGTTCCTGGGCCACAAAAATCAGGCCTTCTGTCTCCTTCTTCAATGNTGGTTTATGCCAGAAGCGTTGCAGTTCAATTCTTAGGTCATGATATTGGCTAAGTTTTTCTTTTTGTTTTTCGTCAATTCTACTGTCACCTGGTATGGCGACATCTATAATCCACACTTTTTTCTTCTCCAAAATTGTGAAGTCTGACGTATTATGTTCCAGAACTTTATCAGTCTGAATTCAGAAGTCCCATAGTATTTTGACACATTCATTTTCAACTACTTTTTCGGGATTATATTCCCACCAATTTTTTCCTATAGGTATATGATAGTTGTGGCACAGGTTCCAATGGATCATTTTGGCCACAGAATTGTCTCTCTGTTTATAGTCTGTCTGTGCAATTTTTTTGCAGCAGCTGAGAATATGATCAATAGTTTCATCAGCTTCTTTACACAGTCTGCATGTTGGATCGTCAGCAGATTTTTCAATTCTTGCCTTAATTGCATTTGTTCTGATTGCTTGTTCCTGGGCCACAAAAATCAGGCCTTCTGTCTCCTTCTTCAATGCTCCATTGGTAAGCCATAACCAGGTTCTTTCTTTATCCACTTTTCCTTCAATTTTGTCCAGGAACTGTCCATGTAACACCTTATTACGCCAGCTGTCAGCTCTAGCTTGTAATGTAGTTTTCTTATACTGATTCTTTGTCTGCTGTGCTTTAAGGAGTTTTCTATTATTGACAGCAATCAGTGCAGGCTCCCCACTGTCCTTGACATATTCTGCCAGTGCATATTTTTCTTCTTCAACAGTTTGTTTTACTTGTAATAGGCCTCTACCACCCAACCTTATAGGCAGATACAACTGATCTACATCGCTGCGTGGGTGTAGTGAACAATAAATGGTCATAAGTTTTCTTGTTTTTCTATTGAGATTGTTCAATTTTGTGAAATATACTATCTTGTCTCATCTGTAAGAGCATGCTCATATATGCACAGGAATATGATGTTAGTGTATATTTTAAAACGTACCATCTAAAACATTATTATTATTATTATGTTGGGTTTTGTGAGTTATACTAGGTTCACACCGATGGCTGTGTACTATGCCGGACCAGAGTCAAGGCATAGCAACCAAAACAAAACTAAAATTAAATAAGTGTGTCAGTGTGTGTGAATTCAGCAATTTCCTAACAATGTGGCATGTATTCAATATAGTGGCCTTCTGTAGTGTGATGTATGTATTTTTATTCAATTGTAATGTTCCCAGACTTTTGTGTAGTGTGTGTGGTATTACACCTGTACAGGAGAGAACGACAGGTACAATAAGCACCCTATCCATCCTCCACAGATGCCTTATTTCCTGGGCGAGTTCTGTGTACTTGCTAATTTTTTCAGTGCATGTGTTTTGTACATTTTGAGTGTTTGGAATGGCTATGTCTATAATGTATGTGATTTTATTGTGTTTGTCAATGAGTGTGATATCTGGTCTGTTGTGGTAAATTGTTTTATCTGTGATTATGGCTCTGTCATAGTACATTTTGTACATGTTGTTTTCCAATACTGTCTGTGGAATGTATTTGTAGTATGGTTCGTGAATGTCTACCAAGTTGTGTTTCTTTGCAAGCTCTTGGTGTATTATATTCGCTACTTGATTGTGTCTATGTAAATAATCTGTCTGTGCCAAGAGCTTGCAACCAGAAGTGATGTGTTGTATAGTTTCTGGCATGATGTGTCATTTGTGAGTGTTGTATCTTTGAGTATGTGTTTTCTGTAGTTTTTAGTATTTATGACCTGATCCTGTGTGGCAATCATGAATCCTTCCGTCTCCCCAAAGAGGCATCCCCGATCTAACCAGCTGTTTGACGCAGTTTTGTCAACAAAATCCTGGGCCAGGTCATAAGGATGCCTGCCATGGAGTGCCTTTTGAGCCCATGTTTGCTTAATGGTGTCTATGCTTTTTATGTGTTGTGTCATGTCTGTATGATGTGAGTGTAAGTTTAATGGTGTGCTATTTGAGTCTGCTAGAATTACTGCTTTATTTTAATTGAAGACTTCAATTTAATTGTGATGTTTCTTGTTTCCTGTAGAAAAACTCTCGCAGTGACTGTATTTGTTTATAGTGAAGATTAACTATGTCAATCAAACCACGTCCGTCATCTTTACATGGAAGGGTTAATCTTTCTGTGGCGGATTTAGGATGATGTTGTTTATGCTTAGTAAGCATTGTTCTTGTTTTCCTTTGGAGTTGCTCAAGATCTGTGTGAGTCCAATGTATAACTCCAAAAGAGTATGTGAGTACTGGGATGACATATGTGTTTATTGCTTTAACTGTGTGTTTTGCATTTAGCTGTGTTTTAAGAATGGCATTTAACCTACTTTGGTATTCTTTAATTAATCTTTGCTTTATTTGTGTATGTTCCATTAGTTTGGCCTGTTGGAATCCTAAATACTTGTAGAACTCGCCCTCTTCCATGGACTCAATAATGTCCCCATTTCCAAGTGCAAAGTCTTCTTTCTTCAGGATTCCTTTTTCTATGTGAAGTTTTTTGCAATTGTCTAAGCGAAACTCCATTTGTATGTCCTTAGTGTATGAGTGTGTGATTTGTAGGAGTTGATGAAGTTGTTTCTGTGTGGATGCATAGAGTTTTATGTTGTCCATGTACGTGAGATGCGACAGCATAAACTGTGTTGTTTTTTCAGGTCTGATATTGTAGCCATAATGCGTGTTGTTTAACATTATTATTATTATTATTATTATTATTATTGTTTACATAAAGATGCAAATTTTTTTATAAAATACATATTTGACAGAAATTAGATGTTAACTGTAGTATATTTGTAAGTTTTATTTATAATTATGCATATTCTAAATTTTATTTTGCTCATTACACATACATTTGCTTATTATACACACATTTTTAAATAAAATGTGTGTGTAATAAGCCTCATACTGAGGCCTCTTATATTCTTTCATTGTACATTACATAATTGTGCTTTCCAGAAAATAAATTTAAATATTAATGAACATGTTCCATTCATGTTTTATGTTTATGTTCTATTAATTGGTCTTAATTGTTTCCAATCTAAGTGTTAACTGTTAAGATTCAAAACACTTAAGAATTTATTAACAGAAGTGGTATTCAGTCTTTCTGAATAAATTAAAAAACAATGTTAAAATTTTTGATGCAAACAGAAAAATAATAATAATAATCCTTGGTATCTTATTTTATATATGATATCATGTAAAAATTATAATAAATGTAAAATCTATTATAACTACTACTTTAATAAAATTGTAAATGATCTTTTTATAAAAAAAAATAAATTTTCTGGCAGTTTATACTCAAATTTCCTAACTCTCAAAGAAAAAAACTAACAATAGCATTTATTTTGCCTATAATCAGATTAAATCCTATTTTTAATATATTGCCTGAAGCGAATTTTAAATCTTTACCTTTCTGTTTCTTGACTCAAATATTTTAGATTTTTGCTCAACTAATACATTTAGTCTTGATCCAATACCCTCCTCCTTCAAAAAATTTAAATCTGTATTGTCATCCATCCTTATTCATTTATTACCATCTACAGTATGTTAGAATAATGTTTTACACTTAAACAATAGAGCACATTAGTTATATTCATCCTTTTTTAAAAAATTCTTTTCTCATTTCATCCTATTTTTCTACTTCCAGCTATGCTAAAGATTTTGAAATATTTTTACCACTTCATTCATAAATCAAAATTTCAACACAGTATATATAACATTATGGCATTCCCCTAACAATAATCTGAAAATAAAGCCCAAAATTTTATTTTAATTCAATATAGATTACAAAAATAGACACCTTTGACATAAAGCATTTAATTCAATTGTTCTTTTTGCTTCATCTATTTTAACTAGATACTTAATATTAAGTATCTAGTTGATATTGGACGTTTGGTTTAACTATTGTTACAAGTTTACAAAATAACAAATTGAGTATTATTACAAAAGATGACTTCATTTTGGTGATAACTATACATATAATATATTTAGCTATATCAGATTTTACTCTTTAGCAATAATAAAAACGCCATATGCTTATTACTTACAACAAACTCCAGATGTCCTACTTACAACTTCTGTGTGGCGTCTTTCTCGAATGAGACTTTCATTGGTTCTGTCAGTGTGATCAATGATATCTTCAATTATATCTGGGAAAGGAATTCAAAAAGTTGTAATATTTTATCACTAGTCAAAATTTGTCACACTACAATTCTGATTTTAATTTATACTTTAAATGAATAATGATCCACACAAAAATAAATTAAAACAGAAAAATTGCTTTATCATGACAATGTCATTTAAGTCTTTCCTGAACATGGACAAAGTATAAAGATGCTCAAATATGAATTGTTTCCAAGTGTTATGCTTTAGTATGCAATTTTTCCATTTTATAAAGTTGTTGTTATTATTATTATTATTACTATTATGCATAAAACTAGGACATCATATGACTTTGTTGTATCATGATAGAATTGTGATGGAGCCGAAAAGAAAGAAGCAATCCTTGCACTTGCCCCCAAAAAAAGAGACTATCCTTGTATAGTACTTATATGTATTTGGAAAGAGAAGCAAACTTAAATATGATGCTTTTTGAATAAGCCATTCATTGGTCTGTTATAAATTTAAAAATTGTAAAATCTCTTTTTATTAATATAATATATATTATATTTTATA